CGCCGGGCCCCGGGTCCACCCCGCCCCTGCTCCGGCTCGGCCGCTAGCGCGCCCGCCCGCCCGGGGTGACGTCGGAGGGGCCCCCTGTCCTTTCAGTCTGTGGGCGGCGAGCAGTCACCCCGCTTGGGGGGGGCTCGGAAGGGTTATGGGGGGGGGTCCCCTGTGTCCATTTTCACGGAGAGCGGCGAGTTTCCTCTGAGGTGGGCGGTAGGCGTCTGGCTCGCTTCCAGCGCCAGCCAGCCTGGATCCCAGCCACCTCCCCTGGCTGCACCTGAAGCGCAGGAGCGGGGGACTCTCTCTGGTAGCTTTGAACTTAGCGCGGTTGGTTGCTTGCATCGGGTCTGCCACAACTTTAGAACCTGGTCATACCTCCACCCAGAGGCTAACTAGTGAACTTCCCTGCTGGAGTGTGCCCTGGGTTGGCTGAAGATTCAACCAGGAGCCTAGCTGCGAATCTCTGACACTGTGTGTCCCGCCGGGGCGACGCGACTACCCGAGAGTCTAACGAGTGAACGACTCCTATCAGCTTCAGGCTTTGGGATAAGCCTCAGGCTCTCGGTCCCCAGATCAGCCCCAAGAGCCTGCGATTAGGCGGCGTGTAGTATTAAATTAAAAGGTGACAAAGAGGGAGGTGGGGGACCAGCCCCCACCGCTAATCGCGGGTTCAGTAATGCACAATTGTACGGTTGAGATATATAAGCATTATATTAAAGTCATCGAGAGCATGAGAGATAATACAATAATACGTCAGACATATTACATGGTAGCATTGCTCACCTCCATCCCGCTTGGTGGTCCTCGTGGGGGGAACCCGGCTGCCAGAGCAGAGCCGCCTCCCTCTCAGGAGCTGCCCTCTCGTCCACCGCCCTCATGGGAGCGGCCTTCACGGGAAGCAGCTGTCCTTCCTCAGCCACCCTCAGCCAGCCACCCTCGCCAGAACCAGGGAGCCTCCTTATCTATTGCTAACCACGCATCATCTTACTTTAGGGGGATACATCACAGCATTCTGCATCACAGAGAGGGGCAATACAATTCACAACAACCTGAGTCATATTGCAACATAGGCAATACAAGCAATAGGAGGGGGATGACCTAGGGGTGAATGTGCAAGAGGAGGGAATAGGGGGGCATGTGTGGCAAGATAGTAGCCTAAGCTTAGTCATCTTAGAGTGGTCCCAGGCTTGCCGATGGGCACTGCTTCGAGGGAACAATAACAGAAAGGAATGGACCCTATTTGGGGTGAGTCAGACTATACAGTCTGGCCGCTCTAGATGGCTGATGTTAAGGAGAATAACCTCTGACTATTTTCGCTGCCTAATGAATAGTTATTCTCAAGCTAAGCTTGGCATATATTTTGGGGAGACAACTTAAGAGAAATCCTTCTTTTCCTCACAGCGGTGATCTTTAATCAGCGACTCCTGTAGACGGTGTAAACAATCTGAGTGTAAGGAAAAGCATTCTGGGACAGCTCTCATCTTGGAAATACTGAACTCAGCCAGATCCCCCCACAGAAGGGAAAGGTCCCGCAGCCACGGAATTCAATCACTTGCCACCTATGCTAAAGAATAAAGACTGTACTAATAAGGGGATTTCCTCTCATGTAAATGCTGATAATTGTAAGAAAATGATAATAATCTCTGTAAGTGCTGGTAGTTAAAAAATGATAATAATCCTTGTTAATGCATTTTTAAAATAGTTTTAAAATCCTAGTTTGCTTACAATGTTCTAAGCATTAGGACTTGCAGGAACCTTGCGCTCGAACACACACACACCTCCCCACCCCCCTTTGTAAACTATCTAACCTCTTTTGGAACTAGGGGGGGCAAATGTCTATAAAATGTAGTTTTAAAATTCAACTAAAACAAAATTTGTTGACTAAGTGCAAGACAATAAAGTAGGCTCCTAAATATTAATGGAAATAATGACAGTTTATATTTTCAAGAGGTTTGGGCATGGGAGTGGGAGTGCAGAGGTAAAGAGATGATGAAACAGTAAGAATGTCCATTCCATGTGACGTAAGGGGCGAGTAGGTCATGCCTAGTTGAAAGGTCAGTAAAGATTTCATGCAACAGCGGCAGTGGAGATGGGGCAGGGGTGATAGGAGAATTTCAAGGAGAAAGAGAGAGAGGAGAGCGAGCTGGACTGCGACAGCAGCCTGGCGTGCAGCTCCACATCTCCATCGGGTGCTCGGGTCTCAGCGAAGCCTTCCATGACTGCACTTCCGCAGCAGTTGCTCTTATTAGATGCTTCCACAGCACAGTGCACGTCCCACAGATGGATGGGAGTTACTGTTTCATATTTCTTTCTGGATGGTTTCAGCAGGGCCTGTCTCTTCACTGAACTGTAAACTCCATAGGTGTGTGGGGAGGTCAGATGCGCAGGCATTCCCCCACTGAGGGCAATCAGTTGCCAGACTGCTGTCTCATCCCTCCACAGGGGTGGGCCTGCTCCCTGCCTCTGGGGACAATGGACAGGCTCCTGCAGGCGGAGTTTGCACCCTACTGATAATGGTTCCTATGGAGACCCAGAGACCACCCCCTCATTACTGTGTAACCTATAGTGCAGCCCCTCCCTGTGACGTATGTTTCTACCTGTAATTAGTGGGCTGGCTTGTCCCCAAAAGGTATATAGGTGTGAGTCAGCAATATAGATCTCTCTGGTTCTGAGCTCCTTGCTGCTCACTCCCTGGTCACTCCCCTCTCCCTTGTTCCCTTCCCCTCCTTCTCTTCCCCCTCCCTCCACGTGGACCACCAAGCTGGGCTGAGGGGAGCAATGCTACCCTGTAATATGTCTGACTGTATTATTGTAATATCTCTCATGCTCTTGATGACTTTAATATAATACTTATATATCTCAACCGTACAATTGTGCATTACTGAACCCAGAAGTTGTACTTACTGAATCCGAGTAGTAGTAATAGTAGTAGCAGCGGGTGTGGGCTGGCCCTTCACCCCCCAGCGCCAATCTTTTAATTTAATACTACACATAGGAGTGTGGACTTTGATTTTATTCACCAGTATTATCTAGTGCCTGGCACAGAGTAACCCACAGCCAGCGAGTCCATTCCGACTCATAGCAACCCGATAGGACAGGCTAGAATGCCCCCTGTGGGTTTCCAAGGCTGTAACTCTTTGGGAGAGTAGAGAGCCTCATCCTTCTCTCGAGGAACAGCTAGTAACCTTGCAGTTACCAGCCCAGCGTGTAACTCGGTACACCACCAGGGCTTAACGGCACTAAATTGTTGTTGTTAGGTGTCGTCAAGATGGTTCTGACTCATGGCGACCTTATGGACAACAGAATGAAAGACTACCTGGTCCTGTGCCACTGCAATTGGTCTTACGTTTGAGCCCATCAGTGCAGTCACTGTGCCGATCCATCTTGTCGACGGTCTTTATCTTTTTTGCTTTATCAAGCATGTTGTCCTTCTCCAGCGACTGGTCCCTCCTGACAACATGTCTAAAACACTTTGACATAAGGTAGACCAAACGAAACAAAACCAAACCCACTGCCATTGAGTCAGTGTTGCTCACAGGGACCTTATAGGTAGGGTGGAACTGCCCTAGTGAGTTTCTGAGACTCTTTACAGGAGAAGAAAGTCCTGTCTTTCTCCTGTGGAGTGGCTGGTGGTTTCAAACTGCTGACCTTGTAGTTAGCAGTCCAATGCCTAGCCACTAAGCCACCAGGGCTCCTACAAAGTAAACACTCGATAAATATTGCTGAAATGAATGGGATCTACAAAGAAGCTTATTGTACTAGAAACTGACATACAATCAAAACAATATTGGGAAGTGACATTTGGAAAGGGTGGTTGAGATCTTGATGTACCCTGTGGATACTCTTGGATACTGTGTGGTTTAAAATTAGGGACGGTGTGGTTCAGGGTTGCATTTTTTCACCATCCTTATTTGATCTCTGTGCTGAGTTCAAGAAGCTGGATTATATGAAGAAGAAAACAACATCAGGAAGAAGACTCATTAACAACCCGTAACATGCAGTTGATGCAATTTTGAAGTGCTTTCTGATGAAGATCAAAGATTATAACCTCCAGTATGAATTTCACCTCAACAGAAAGAAAATCAAAATTCTCACAGCCAGACCAAGGATAAACAGTGAAAAGTGAAAGTTTCCAAGGATTTCATTTTACTGGGATCCACAATGAATGCCCTTGGAAGCCACAGTCAAGAAATCAAACGACATGTTGTGTTGGGAAAATCTGCAGCAAAAACCTTCTTGAAAGGTTCAAAAGCCAAGAGGTCACTTTGAGGACTAAGGTGTACCTGACCCAAGCCCTGAGGTGGACAATGCCTGAGGAATACTGAAGAAGAACTCATAAATTTGAATTACGGTGTTGGCTAAGAATGTTGAACATACCACCGAGTGCCAGACAAGACTGTGAAGAAGTACAGTAGAATCCCCGTACTTGACCGTATCAGTACTCAACATAATCGGATTTTGATGTGAAATGTCGAGAAAAGTTTGCCTCGGAGTTCATACAAAACTTCGGAATCCGACTCAACACACGTGATTTTTGTAAATAAAGGCAGTT